TGATTAAACCATTCATGAGTCTATTCATTTAAATGGGTGATGAAATAATAGGCCTAAGAAATACTGAAAAGATCATTTATTATTTAGTTTATTTAAAAAAAAAACACTCTCTTTTAGCTTTTCAGTTGTTAAGATTATCCTCTGGGTTTTTTCTTGGTCTTTTTTTGCTTCTGTGGCAGTATGACTCTAAAAAAAGTTTTTTTGACTTGTATTTTTACACCAAAGGAAACTGTGAATGACAAGTGAAATATTTATATGATCAGAGATCATTAAGCATCTGTTAATAAGGGATCATACTGATGTAGAAAGGGCCCATAGTAGGATATTACTTAAAGTATTATCAGATGACCAAATGAAACCATTATACCATTAGATTCCAAATTAACTAGTCAATTGTTTATGTTACAGTTATTTCATTATGGTTCACTTGCAAAAGCCTCACTGCTATGAAAGGTTTCTGACCTTAAAACCTTCACCCCAAAGCTCACCATTTATGCACTAACATCTTACCTCCTAAGGTTAAACCTAAGAAATGCAAGCAACTAAAATGAACCTGCAAAGAATATTTGTTGTGTTTATGCAAACATCCCATTGGACCCATTGAAGACATTATTCAATCGACCATTAAAAAGTATTAATGGGAAGCTCATCTGCTTGACTGCGTGAGCACATAATGACGCATTGTTTTTCCCCTGTACAAACATGAGAGCAGATTAGAAACGCTGCAGGGGATAGGTAGCTCTGACCCTAGCTCTGCAGCCACAGGGCAACCCGGAACAACACTTCTGCCCTTTTGTTCGAACCACCCAGAGGTGGCTGCCACATAATGCATTTCAAAGACGGTTGATATGCTCTTTTAAAATAAAAAAACATGAGGTATCAATCAGGCCAGCAGCCTGACTCCAACACAGCACAAATAACCTTGTTTTCACCTCCTCTCTTTTCCCTTATTATTTGATATTATATAAGAAAGAACAAGCGAAGCAGCGAGCGGGATTCATTGTTGTCATGCGTGGCTCTGGATGTGTGTTTTTTTTAAGTCTGCCTGTGTCAGATTCGGTGCGTTGCGCTGACTCTGACTCCTCTGGCTTTGGACTTGTGACCTTGGTGATAGCGGACTGCGCTAGACGAGGATAATGAAAAGTTTGCAAACAGAGGCCCAGCGGGGGCTCAGAGGGAGCCGGCTCTCCGAGAAGATGGTGCATCTGACCAAGGAGGATGCTGAATTGGAAGCTAAGAACAGACATGAAGGACAAGAGTGACTCACAAGTCATTTTCTTTGCTGGACAAACATGCTATTTTGATCCTAAAGAAAAAGGAGTAGTGGCAGATAAAGGGGCCTATAAATAAGCAGCTGGCTGGTGCTGAGGCAGTGGGACTGACAGCACTGCCTGTGGACGCATTTGAAAAACACGGCTCAAGTAGACAAATAAAGAACAGATGTGACAGTAAGCTTCAGATAGATAAATCACACATCAACCCTTTCATCAACAAACATTGCAGCTCCCCTGGCTTCCTCCCAACTTTAAGTGACACAAGACGTCGAATAATAAACGCACGCAGAGTAAGAGACTGACCATTATCCAGTCAGCAGCAGAAAAGAGAGAAGTGCTTTCTGAGAGGGTGAACGGAAGAAAAATGAAAGAATCTCATCCTGTACAGTTGTGTCGAAGCTTTAAAGCTTTCTGTGCCGAGACCACAAACTAAAGCAATAGCAGCTTGACTCAGGTAGCTCAACAACAAAAAGATGTTATATACTAGGCCTGATAACGGGAAAATGAAACATATGTCATGAAAAGATTAAACGCACGGGGCTTTTGAAATAAAACATATTGATTTCTGTCCAACTGTGATATTTTTTAAACATATTTCTACAAATGATTTGAAAGCAGTAAGAAAAATGGGCATAGACACTGGGTAGTCGGGGCTTGAGCCCGTGTCTGCCACAGTGGGACAGTATATCCTCTGCATCCGCCTGGAGGACTAATCATCTCATGGCCCATCTGATTTATTCAGGTCTAAATTCATGGGGTCTACATTAACCAGACTGATACCTACGCACACCGACTGCCAGGTGGCGAAATGAAAGAGGACGTGGAGAGCAGAGATAGACACGGCCATCACAGATACACTCACGCCGGGATCGCTGAAGTGGAGAAATGATATTAGTTGCTATGGCTTTCAAAAACAGGAGATCTTAGCTACACATAAATCATTTGGGATATGAGATAATAAACTTGGAATGAAGTTGTCATGTCTTTGTATACACAAAACAAACATGATCATCTCTGATCTGTACAGAACGATACAGCTTTACTGGTGCTCTTCATCACTCGTGTACTGTTGTTTAGCCCAATGGTGGTGTCCATTACGCCCATATGCCATGAAATGAAAAACATGCCATAAAAAACAGGTATTTAAAAAAACAAGAAGATGAATAACCTAATCGAGGAGAAGTGTTGTGGCAGAGTTCTGTGTGAGGAGTCCGGAAGCGGAAAGCAACACCAGGTGGTCCAGCGTCTGGAAACAGGCAGCCAAAGAGCAGTGTTGCCTTGACAACTGTGATGCCTTGTGGATGATAATAGCCGAGCACCTCAAAGCCAGCACGCCACAAACAGAACGCACAGAAATACATCTCTGAGGCTCAATTGGCTTCGCTTTACCCCTGCTATTATTTTTCATAATAAAAAACGTGAACTCCTCACTGCAGTGCAGGATTCCGAGCACGGTTCCTTATTGCATCTCCCACCTTCCCCTGTCCCTCTTTCTGCAGTTGTTCCCTTACCAAAAGAAAGCATTGTACCGCTTAGAGCAAACAATCTGCTGCTTTGTCAGATATATATCTGAGAGGGCCGACAAGCCATCTGTTCACCCGGGCCGCAGTGGGACCTGATCAATACGGCCACAGTGGACAGAGAACCTAGCTGCCTTGGTCTACCACATTGACTGGAATAATGGATCAGCTTTTGGGTCACAGTGGACTCATTGTACCAGCAGCATGACCACTGAGGTTTCCTGCCTCCACACCTCTTTGTCTCAACTCTTTTAATTAAGGAGCTGAGCAACAGAATTCCCTAACAGGCTTAGCTATTGGCAGCCTTGCAACCAGAACTGATTGTTCAGTTAAGGATTTAGCCTGTAAAGCTTTGTATGACCAGCCCATACTGCTTTAATTTGTCGGGGTGTCCAGCCTTTGTGCATTACCGCATCATAGCCACACTCGCAATTAAACAGGTTGGCCTAAAAGCAGGTGCTTAGGTGAAACACTGAAGGGTGCATTTCAGTGGAAAGCTCTGATGAGCTTCCACTGATCTGATGTGGACCAATCCTGAGTCCCCTCTTCTTCCGCTGCATCAGCTGGTGATTTCTGAGCACATAGCCACTGCAGCATCCTACCACCTCCTCCACTCGCTATTCTCCTCCCCCACCCTCCCTCAACCTCTCTCCACCTGCTTTTAAATGCATGGCGCTGCCCTGACAAACCAGTCTATGCATGCGGCATCACTCCTCTCAGGGCCTCCGGTGTGAATGAGAGAGCTGTGCAGCACAATAGGCGGTTATCACTCTGTGAATCATATGTGGCTCCGGCTCTAAGAGCAGAGGATAAGATTGGAGTGAGCAAGCAAAGCCGCCCCGTTCCTTTGATTGGACCAGTAATCAACCGAGCAATTTGAGGCAACGGCCGGGATGGCCCGCTGGACTGAGGGAGGAAAAAATGTGCTTCATCTTTAACTGTAGGGTGTCCTGCTCCGAGCATCCTGTGACTAAATAGGCCACTGGCTACATGGAGCCTTTAGGACGCCAGCTTACAGAAAACACGACCCCTCGACGTAAGATTTTTAAAGAGGAGGTGCCTGTGTCGTTCTGCTCCATCCTTAAAAGGACCGTCCATAATGAGCAGAGCCCTCCTTGTCATGGTAGGTGCCATCATGCAATGCACGCCGCCTCCTGATGCACAGCCTACACACACGTCCCGTTTCAAATAAAGATTTAGTCCTCAAGATCTAGCTGCTGTGCATTTTGCTCATCTGTTTCGTAACAGCACACACCAGTCATGTCAGCAGCCCCAGCTGGATTAAATCCCCTGATGTGTTGTGCTGGGTAGGCCCGGATCTCCGACACATCCTCTGATGGAAGGGTAAAAATGAAAGGGGGGGGGGGGGCGGCAGCAAGAATCTGTGCCATAAATAATAACTGTGTGAGGCACAGTAACGTACAGCACTAACCGCTTCTAAGCTACCTATACATCACTCCCTGGCGCACAGGATGCCAGGCCCTGCCTCCAACAATAGGCCTGTGCATAATTCTGAGCCATTCTCATACACGCACATGAGTCGGTGGATAGCATGATGCTAATCGGCCTTTGTGCGCGGAGGAACAGTTTGTTTGAGCCATGCCAGGCGTCCACAGCTACCGTGGAGGGGTTCGCACTGTGAGGCAGCGAGTGGAATCCGTGCGGGTCATGGCTAGTGCGCAGTGTGTGTCGGTCCCTGCATCACCTCAGGGTACATAACGGGGTCAGGAGAAAAGGCAGCACAACCTCTCCTCTGGCCACTTCAGCCGGGCCAGTAAAGCTCTCTCTTTTTTGTTGTACCCTGCAGCAAACGGGTCGTTTTAGTCAACAATGGCTGGTGATTAGACTACCCTCAAAGCCTCGGTGGGGTCACATGCTTCATTCAGCTTCCCCTGGCTTTACAATAATAGTTTTTTTTTATTATTCACCTTGGCTGCAGACAGCCTTGTGCTCACTCCTTTTTTTTATCATTCGAATTAAGAATAACAAACACTTATCTAAAAAAATAAAATAAAAAAAACAAATAAAAAAAAAACAAATGACATCATCCCCTGAAAGCCACACAGCCGGGGGAGTGAGGCATCGTAAATAAAACATAGCTGGTAAGGGCGCAGTGATTCTACTGTTTTCTATGGCTTCCCCCCCCCCCCCCCCCCCCCCGCTTTTTTTTTCCCCGCTCGCTGGCTCCGCCCCCGCCCGGGAACGGATGGTGTCCGCGGCCGGCTCCATGGTTCTCCCGGCCGGGGTGATCAACCCCGCCGTGCCCATCAGGAATATCCAGATGATCCCGGCCGGGGTGATCAACCCCGCCGGGAGAACCATGGAGCCGGCCGCGGACACCATCCTTTCCCCCGCGGAGCCGGAGCCAGCGCCCGCGGCGACCTGCTGCTGCTGGGGGGGCTGGGGGGTCTGGGGCTGCGCGGAGCTCCCCGGCGGAGGGTGGGAGTCTCGGTCCCCGGTGTCCGTGAGCGAAGAAGCGGAGCCCGGCGGTGCTGAAACCGGCTTCTCGCTCGACATTTCCCCTCGGAAACGGGGAGGGGAGGAGAGGAGCGGTCGCCGCTTTCTCTCACACCTGCTCACACAAGCCCGGGCGTCTGCTGCTGCTCGAAAACCATCCACCGGGGGATAAGAAAGGGAAGAAAAAAACAAGGGGGAAACCGGTGTTTTTTAAAATCCTCTGAATTCACCCCTATCCTCCTGAAAACGTGTAGGGACTCATAGGGCTGGGGTGGAAAAAAAGGATGGAGGCTTGACAGGATGGTAGCTTACGTTCCTATGTCGCTTTCTCTCCTCTGTCTGTCTCCCCCTCTCATTGGCAGGTTGCAGTCAGTGCGGCGGTAGTGGAGGAGACAGCGCCATGTTGACGCCCCCTGTCTGCGGTAGCGCGCTTTTGCCGCGCATGCGCATGCCGTTTTCTCCCTGGGAGGGTGCCGAAGCGGAATGACATGGAGCCATCCATGCATAGGTTAAAGCGGAGCACAGCCCTGCAAAAAAACAAAAAAACAACTGGCTTTCATTGTTTTGTTTGGTGATATATATATATTTTTGCAGTAGCTGCTTTTTCAAATGTGAATTCCTTATGAATATTATGTTTAAAAAAAGGAAAATGCAGCCATCAGGCCAAATAAGCTCTATGGTTTTGGGTGCAGTGCAGGGGCATTTCAGATGGATTTCATTAAGATTCTATTTTCCAGACAGAGGCTCTTTATATATGCAGAGGAATGAGACTAGTCTGTATTCGTGGCTGTAAATGGAAATTCAAACCCAGAGTTTTAGCTGCACAATTTGTTTTCTACTATATTTTCCTAAACTTTTTGTATTACCAATAAAATGTATTTTGGTCCAATCAAATTTATTTAAACAATGCATCTGGTGCAAACTGTTATATCGTACGTCACATGCCTTGCTAGCTATTTTGTGCAAGTTTTTGCCATTGTCGTTTTCAATCAAATGCTCATGACCGACAAAAATGCCCAATTTGTTTTGTTCTTTGTTGCAAATACGAAAGAGATTAATCTCCATCATACATCATTTCACCACAGACTCTCACTGAAGGCACGTACAATAATACTGGAAACTTGAGATAAGACATTCCTGTTAATTTAAATGTTAGTGTGTTTAAAATGGGCCCTGGCACATCCTTACAAAAACATAATGATAACCATCTTAAGCTTTTGCAACTATTTATTTTATTAAGAATATCTGAGAATTTGCACTTGTCTTTATTTGATCAGTTATGACCCCTTTGACAACCTTTTTCCTGCTTTGCACTGTTGTCTTAAATCAACATGTGTTGTCTGTGTCCAAAAGCTGCCTTCTGGCTTTCTAAGCATCCTCCATCAAATCCTGAAAGGTTTTATTACCCAAGATTACTTTGGAAATGAAGGTATGATTGTAAACTCCACATGATTTTTATTCCATTCATTTTTTCTGACATGCTGTAAAACAGCAGTTCAAGCAGCACGGTTGGTGTCTAAGTGTCTGTATTTACAAATAACATTCATAATTTCAGTCTAAACGATGTTGCAGTTTTGCTTAGCTGTGAATTTAAATTTTGTTTCTTTCAGTTTTTAGGTCAGCAACATTCGGGCCTACTTAGAGAAGAAAAAATGGCCCTTTAACAAAATATGAAAAAACATCATTTATTACCTGTGATAAGTCAAAATTATTATTTTGTAGTCTTCAGCCTGCTCTTATCAGGTATTTCTGATTGTGTGCGACAGGGTTTTGAGCAATTTCTTTAACATCAAATGATGCAAAACATTTCAGAAACCATATGTATCAAATATGATACATGTGGTATTATAGGGTTGAACACTGTAACACAGCTCCAGCCAGAGTGTTTAACACACAAATAAGTCACACACCTGGTATCGTCTGGTGACTCCAAAGACAAAACAATTTACAGTTTACAACTGTAAACTGTATTTAACCTGTTTCAAGCAGCATCTTCAACAGGCCACATCTATTCGGGAAGATTCCCATTAATACAGCAGGATGACCGGTTGCTCTATTTGATTGTTATGAGTTCACCTCCAGATGGAAAGTGATGTCTCTTGAATGCCTCTCTCCTTATCTTTATGATCATGAACAAGGCCGTCAAGTTTAAAGAGACAGCTTGTGCTGTGTGTGCAGGAGTGTTTTACACATTTTGTGCACATGCATGTAGGATCCTTCTAGCACATCACAAATGAGCAGAGACCATTTGGTTTGTTCCTAAAACGTAGGCAGCAGAATCAACACAAGTGGAACCAGGGAAGGCAATCTTCCACAGCATACGCCATCAGTTTCACACTTGCACACAACTCTTCCATCTGTTACACACCTTCCTCACATTCAGGAGTTGTTTCCAAAATTAAAGCATGCACCATACCATAGCTCTCTAGAATGTGCAACTTCAGATCCACACACATACATACAGGAGCACAATGGCAGGCTCACACACACACAAACACATTCCTCTTTGTTTTCAGACAAAAGGCTTGCCTCTGCAGCTTTGTCATGAGCTCACAAAAGGCTCCTTCAGATGAAAGAAAGGTCTGGCTGGTGATTGGGTAAAAGCTTTAAGATTGTTCACCTATTCCTTTCTCTCGCTCCATCTGCCCCCTACATCATGTCTTTCCTTCCTTTCCTTTACTTCCAATAGAGCTACAGGACTTGCACTTAAGCGGTTATTTTTTTCCTTTCTGTTCCAGTGTAGTTTTGAGGAGATGTGTGGTGCGAGTGCCAGCATCCTGTGTGGGCTAACAATCTCACTGCAGGAGGTGCTGAGGGGACCGGGACTCAGGGATCATCCAGAGAAAATGAGGTGACGTCTGTCACAGAAGCTTTGATCAGTGTGTACCGGGCAATCTATTGTTTGATCTTCTGGCTCTTCTTTTTGTATTAAATACAAAACAGTTGAAATGTCTCCCTGAAATATACTTCCAGCTGTTCATTGTTTTAGTGACAACTCTGAAAGAACCTGGGCAAAAGGAATACAATTATACATCCGATTGAATTGAATATGTTCATTTGTTTATTCCATTCCCCTCCGTCTCTCTGTGGAGTTGGACATGAGTTGACGTGTTGAAGTACATAGTGATGACCTCAGGCAGCGACAAAAATACAGATAATAACTTCCTGTTTTCAAAGACAAATGCGAGTCATCTCCAAGATGAGTGTGAGTGTGGAGTCCATGTCCATGTGTGGATGTGTGTGTGTGCTTTGATTGCTTTCATTGTTACTGTGTTTGCTGTGCAGTCTTTTTCCTCAGACTACATAGATCACTGTATTCACAATGTCTTCTTCTTTTGTCATTCACAGAATGTCTGTGAATGTCTTTTCATTGCATTCAGGTTGAATATTATTGGGAAAGAAATTGTCGACCATTAGTCACCAGCCAGGAACATTTTCTTCCTTACTCTCCCCTCCGGTATCAGTGCTTTAAATCACACTACTGTGAGAGCTCTAGTTCTGTGTGATCCTTCAACAAACAGATTGTGAGCCAAATTTTAATAAGCATATCGAGTTTGGGTCATAGAAATAAATCTAATATTTTAGAAACGTCAAACGCCAGTCCTCATGGGATGCTGTCCTGCAAGTGTAAGACATTTTTCTGCTTCTACACAACTGATTCTGATCAAATGTATCTATTCAAAACATGATTGAGCTCTGCACACGCCTGCTAAAGCGCGTCGATGTGATTCCCTAATGCCTACAGGACAGCGTCCCTTGCAGGACTGGTGTTTAACACCTCTGTTTTTGATTAATCATTCTTACTAACCTCAGTCTGTTCTTCTCTCTTACACATTATTATCTGGAAAGCTATATAATAACAATTGAAAATGTCACTTTACCTCTATTGTGTGCATGAAACTTCTGAATGTAATAGCTATTTTTAAAGGAACAGTGCATGTGATGCATTAGTCTATCCCTGAAGTACAAGTCACATGCATGCAAGGCATTTAAATCCATACGGGGTTTAATACCTATACAAACTCATACAAGAGGCAATGAAGAGTTCATGCCAAAGTACTCTGGAATATGGGCAGGATCAAACAAATAAAATTCCCATTTGACTGACGATTAAACCCTTCTAAGATTACACCCTTCATTGCACTCATTTGCAACATACCTTTCTCTTTTTGTGCTTTTTTCCTTGATTTCAGTTTTACCTGTGCTAACAATAACATTTGAATATAGTTATAGCAGAAACCAACACAAATGATAATTTTTTTTTAATGGCTCCTCAGCCACAACAGGTAAAACAGGGAAATAGGGAAACCAAAGCTCACCAATGTAGCATTGTCATTTTATTCCTGCTGATGATAAGTTAAATGTAATTAGTAAAAAGTATCTGCCAGGAAAAAACACGTAAGGAAACGGACCACATTCTGAGAGAATGAGGAAAGATTTTCTTTTTCGTCTCATTTTCTAAGATCCTCTGCAATCTTGGAACTAAATACTTTCACTTTGCAGGTCAGGTTCTCTGATGCATTCCAGGACTGTTGGAATTACAGACAATCCCCAAAAGACACAACAAAGAAGCTTATTAAAGTTTTAAAAGATAAAAAGAATGCCCTTGCATTAATAAGTCTGGAGGAGGTAGTACCTTGAGAAGAAAAAAAAAAAGGCTTCCTGTTAAAATCTCATATCCTCAGCATTGGTCATTGACAGGTTTAAAGGATTACACAGTCCTCTTTTGGTTAAGAAGATTAGACCATCTTTTCTCTTAGGAATCACTTGGAAAACCTCTCCAGATGAACTCAGAAGTGTGCATCATGACAGTAATGAGGGAAAATGTGGAGATGAAGATTTCTTATTAGCCAGTAAAAAAATGATGCAATACTTTTTTTTTCATATATTTGATTTCTCTTTTTCATTATCTTGTGTATTGCTATGGTGCCCAAAATGGCTGGAAAGCTATCAGCAGAGAAAGCAGTTCTTTATCAGGGTCATGACCTGGGATTTACACTCTCTGAAAGGGTTGGCTTTCTCAGGTTTTGAGCTGTTGCCATTGAATAACAGTCAAAACCTGTTTTTCAATTTCACAAAAAAAGCTTACATAGCATATATTGTAAGGCCCATGACACTTAACAGTAAGTAAGGCGATAAATAAGTAAATAAATGAGTGAATAAATAAATAAATAAATAAATAAATAAATAAATAAATAAATAAATAAATAAATAAATAAATAAATAAATATTTACTCACCGGTGAGCTTCAGTCCTCATTAGCCATGACCATGTCCATTACCCATGGGGCCTCAGTCCCAACACAAGTCTGTAAATTGTCAATGCAATGCTGAAACCACCAAGACATTTATTGAAATTCCTCTCAAGATTTCCAGAAGATATCACATCTGTCACGCTGAATTAAAGTGTGAGGTGCAGAGATAGAGGTACAGTACAACCAGAATTTATAATGACATGACAGCCTTAGAAAAAAAAAAGCATACTACAATTTTGGGATAAAAGAGATTACATGAGATTTTAAGCGCTCATTTATTCATGTTGTGCCCACTCAGGACCGTGTGCACTCTGAAATAGATGGATAAACACTTACTTTTACTTAATTGATATCAGTCTTATCATCTGCTTGTGCATCAGCCTCCCGGCATGAGTTTTAGGTAATGCTTAAATAATCAGGTTTCATGTCTTTAAAAAAAAAAGGTTTTAAAAAAGTTTCTAACAATTTTAACAGCTTCTTTTTGCACCTGTCCATAAGTTCTGCTGCAAATTGTCACAAACACAGGAATTTAGTCAATTTTATATTGATTTATATATAAATAAACACGTATAAATATATACAGTATGTACATGCATAAATGTATGCATATATGTGGATACATGTGTGGACTAAATAGCTGTCTTCACATGCAAATGAAAAAAGAAACGAAGTTGCAAATGCCAAGCGGACTACAACCAGGTGTACCTAAGATCTGACATAAAAGAAAGACATGATTTCCTCCATCAACCTCCATCAGTTGACAGAAACAGGAAAGCATTCCCTAACTAAAGCATTGTCACATTTTGTCATTTGCGTTGCATTGTCTGGTTACAGTTTGTCCAGACTCAAAGATATCTGTACACACAACTGCAAACATCCATCCAACATGCACTCATTAATTATTCATTGATTGGATAATTTATTCATTAATGACATTACCATGCTTGTCTGCAAGGAGACAATAGATTCAACATTCTCCAAAGACATGCTTCTGTTTCCCCAAAAGTCTTTCTGCCTTATCATTCAGGATTCGTATTGTAAACATGATCCAGATAAAGAACAACAATGTCAAATGGTGATAACATCGACACAGATTGAATTAAGTCCACAACAGGGACAAAAAGTTGTACAAAAACTATGGGGCCTGTCTGTCTGAATGTTTGTGCAGGGAGGACGTATAAAAAAGTGCTATGTGGGGAATTTTGTTTGGACACAAATGGACAAAACTCGTCCACCTATGTAAATTTTTCATCAAATTTTTCAGGTGAAAGTTATCTATAGAATTTAGATTATTTCACACTGAGGCTTTAATATATGCCACCAGCTTTTCAAACAAGCTGTTGTTTATTAGTGCTTTCTTTCATTCCTGTAATTTTAGCCTTATATTTTTCAATGTTTAGACTTCAACCCAAAAAATGAATACTGCATTAAATATTCAAATACACTGACTTATGTCATATATAATATCTGTGTTTTTGTTTTTTGACACTTATGCAAAAAGCTTTTACTAGGAACTTAAACAATACATTGACTCTGTATATAGACTGCAATTTATATTTTTACCCAATATTTTTAATATTCAAATGATTTTTTGATGGCATTTTGCAGAATTTTCCAAATTTAAGGGGGGCAAAAATGTCCTGATCTCAAAACAAATGCTTGAAAATATACACATCGTCATAAAAAAATAAATTCTAATGAAGTCGGAGCATACATCCCAAAGGTATCAACTCTGATGTCACACATCCAAATATAATGTCCTAAATATACTCCTATAACCCCCACAAAAAATAAATGTGAGCGAAAACTATGTTTAGCTTTTTTCCACTGCAGATCACCTGATTCAAAAGAAATATTTTCTATCACAGCCTTGAATTAAATCAACCTTACAGTTTGAGCATTAATCTGTAAGAGCAGCTTCCAAAACCTTCAGATCCAAGCAGCTTCCATGCTGTACTTCAGTAAATGACAAAAAATATCAGATGGAGTGTGACAGAAATATATATCCTTGAGAAAGCTTCCCTAATATATAAATCTTAATGAGCATTATAATTAAAACCTTAAGGATAATATGAAATCTAAACATTTTGCATTTCAAATGGAACATGAAGCTTGGTATGCATTTCCAGTTTTGCCCAGAAGAGGACCCCTCTCTTACCTTTCAGAGGATGTGGGCTGCAGTAAACTGGACATATCTGGTATTCTGATGTGACACAAATCTTATTTGTAATTCTTTGTTTTTAAAAAATCTTAAATAATCCCATCTTTTAATTGCATGTATAATGACAGCTATATTATGAACTTGCTCTCTCTACGGCATGATCCATAACATTGTTCCCTCTAAAACTCTTTAGCTGTCTGTGGCTTTCAGAAACAACTCTGGTATAAAGTGGATTTGTGGTCAAATTATTGATTCATCTTGTCTGTAGTCCGTTATCCTCATGAAGTAATTTGCAACATGTTGTTCCTCATTTGTCAGAGCCTGTGGAGCAGTGGAGCTGAAGCACACCCACAGTGCAGAGGAGCATTGACATTCAGGAGCTGTAGCCATGTGCCCTACTTTCCAGATAAAACCACTGACATGTTAAATGAGGTAGAGGTTAAAATAATGTCTCTGTGCAGTCACAAGACTAGAGGACATGCTGACTCACATGCAGGGAGGTTTTGGAAAGCATTGTGTGCATTTTAATGCCTCCACTGTCTTCCACTAGATGCCTCTCCATCTATCACAGCTAAGAAGCTATATGTGATTGAATATTGATCGGACAATTGGAGGTTTACTTTCCATCCATTGTTTAAAAGGACACAAGGGGAGGAGAGGGAAAAAGTCTTTACATCAGTTGCTCTTGGGACTCTTCATTCATTTAGCAATCTATAAATACTTCCATGGCATACTTTTCAGGCTCATTCCAATTTCAAAGGGGCAAGAGCACCACTTATTGGACACAAGCACCTATGACATGCAAAATCCCTACACAGACATACTCCAAATGAGGCAAATGTGCCTTGTGAAATTAGGGCATTTTAATCTCAAATCCTGAAAGCTATTTCAAATAACTGAGGACAAGTGTTGAAGTTTTATAATTTTTTTTATTTTTCTCTTTTAGAACCATGGTTTCGCTCTTCATTTTGTCTGAAGTAACAAGCATATATGATCCTGCTCTCAATTTTGGTTTGGAGCCTCTCCACACACAATGGAGGACTTACGTCAGAATCTCTAACTCTTTGGCTGTCCCTGTCCTGCTCAAAACACACATATCGTACTCACACGGACACGTTCGCCGCACTGTTCTGCAGCAAGAAAGTCTTTCGCAACAGGACTACGGTGGCACTGTGGAGATATTATATCATAGCAACACCATGACAACACTGCCTACAGCCGAAACAAAATAACAGCCAAGGCTGTGCCGAGGCAGAGCAAGCATTAATCTGCTATTGCTTCATTTGGATGGTGCTTGGAAAGTTCACATTTCAGCATATCAATATGATAGGAAGACCCTGAAGAACTGTGATGGCACAGGGAGCGCTGCAGATATATACAGTACAGGCTGTACACTAGTTTGAAATGCAGATACACGGGCACAACCATGCACAAACACACACTAAATTTCAAACATGCTTCCCAGAAGCAGTGAAATGGTCACATGTCTCAGACATTGTATAACAGGACAGCGAAAATAACAACAAACAAATACGGAGATAAAATGACTGTCATAATGTTCAAATGGCACCATATTCATTTGTATTAGATATTAGGTTGACACTGGAAATAGTGACAGAAAACCATATCAGCAGTGATATCCAACACAAAGCACATGTATGGACCCAGTGAGTGCGTTTTCTTTATCTTTATTCCTCGTGTAGTCATTTTTCCTGATGCAAGTGTGCTTTTCACAACACAGTGCTGACATGTGTCCACTTCGTACAGATTTTTTTTCTTTTAATTTCCTGAAAATGTGGAAAAGTGCAGGTGGAGCAAACGGCCGATCGGTAATCAGATTGCAGTTGTGAATATAATAAGATCACCAGGAATAGTCAAACTTGTCTGGGAACTTAATCAAACATTTCTTGTATTAAATCAGATTTTGGCTGTTGTTTAATTATATTCAGGAATTATCTTAAGCTGAAAGGGGAAGAAAATGCTTTATATCATCTTAAGTGTTTTTCTCACTGACAGGCCATGTAGAATTTTGCAGAGAGGGAGAAATCTCAAACTCTTAAATAATCATATTGTTAATTTGTTGACTGAATACTATTGCATCAGTTACCGTGATGAATAGGTTTGAGATATTTAATCAGCAAGCTGAAACGCTGTCTTCTAAATGTCATTGTGTTGTCATGTTGTAGTTAAATACTCAAGATAAGAAAAATAAGCAAACGCAGTAAATGATATATGAGTTTCTGTCTACATAACTTTTTTTTCAATCACATAATGCACATGACATGAATAGCTAACCAAAAGTATTTGTTTTACCTATAAAAAAGAACCAGATCTTCAAACCCTCCCTCAAAAATGGATTGGTAATTTATAATTTAACATATAAATAAGTGTAATGCTCTTTACAGACAATAATAAAATGACACCACATTACTCCTGTGTGTGTGTTAACGCAGTACAGTATGGCTCAGCACTGTGATCCACAGCCTGAATGATTAACCTTGTGTGTCACTGCTTCTCAGGTCCAAGACAAAGTTTTTGACATTTGCAGCTTAAGTCTTTGCCTCTGGGCTCATCTGATCTAAAGGGAGAAAAGATGAACGGATCCTCAAAGCTTCGTTAACACACAGGTGACCAAATGCCTTGTTGTACCATTCTGGAGATCTTCCCCTAGAAAAAGAACGGTAAGAAACACAAATGAATGATTAATCAATGATATTTATAAAGCTGGTGAAAAGCCTTGGCCATGGAAATGCCTGAAATTGTCCCATACCTGAGGTCCACTCTTGAGATGTGCGTGAGTCTAGATCTCCCCGTCCCACAAGGCTCTAGGAGGTACTGGGACTCCAAAACAACGCCCCTCACAGCTCCAGTGCACGGGCTATCCTCATGTTCCACAGACACACACGCCAGAGCACTGGAGCCCTTACACAGGTCTGTGCGCCACGATCTGCAGAGAAAACCAACAAGTTCAGTTCTGGTGTTAAATCTGGCATCTGTGAGACACTGTTTGATAATGTGGTAGTTTGGTATTGTAAGGTAAAGGTACCTTAGTACCACGTAGTCACAGGTGGGTTGTGGAGCCATGTTGCAGCATGAGTAATGATACACATCGGTCTGTTTGTCCAGCGTCTCCAGTATCTTCTCGTGCTGTAGCTGAGTCTGCCACACTGAGCGTTCCTTCAGCAGCCGTTGCAGAACCTCAGTGGGAGTTGCCGACACCTCAACGCACACTCGCCACCGTCTTAAAGGGTTTCCATCACCAACCTTAATATACACACAGATATTAAAAACTACATCGGACGTAAAGCTCTTTTTGAAAAAGCGTCACTTTCCTACAATGGAAACGTTAACGTGTGCCTGTTGAAAGTGTGTGACATCTTGTTTTGTAATAACTCTGATGTAATATTGTATGCTAGGAATGAAATCTGTCTATGTTGCCTATTTTGTCTATTTTTTTATTTTTTACTCTGGAAACTCAACGACCTCCCACCTTTTTAAAAGCCAGTTCGGTGTGGTCAGAAGACGCGCGGGACACCCAGCCTTTGCTTTTATCTTTGGCCTCCTTCAGCAGATTCTGGATCAGACATTCTAAGTGTGAGTGATAAGACCCTTCCTCATCCTCTTCTTCCACCTCCTCATCCACCTCCTCCTCAGTAGACTTGCAAAGCTCATCCAACGGGGGCACCATCAGCTCTGCCTCCATATAGGAGTTACGCGACTGGGTAATCATTTCCTCTGGGATCTGAAGAACAGAAATAGAAAGTGTGTCAGATCCAAGCAAAGTGTAGTTACACTGTGTTAAATTATGAAGTTAAGAGGACTGAGTATGAAGTTAAGAGGACTGAGATTTCGGAAATTATAATTTAACTCTGATCAGAATAGTAGAAAGTACTGCATTACAACCCCTTTATAAAAAATAATTTAGGGCAATGACAATGTAATATAGAACTTATGCTATAGCTTATTTATCATAGTGAGTAGAAGCTTGTTGTCAAACCATAACACCTTTTTTCTGGCACTAAAAGACAAGGGATAGGAGCTCCAAGGGAGATGTGGAGTTAAAACTACAAACTTAACTTTGTGTCTCACAAAATAACAAAATAACAAAAAAGTTACTTGAAACTTAAGTACAAGTAACATAAAATGGTATCATTTTTTGTGTATTGGGCAAACTTGTTAATATCTACTGCCTTCTTTCTGCATTGCCATGCCAGTCATTTTTGTGTTTTTAAAAGAATTGCAGAAATTGTCCCTTAAACACATTAAACTAAGCAGAATTCTCTGCACTCGCAGATTCCCTAAAGGCAGCGATGTATCAACCTACAAATGACCTAATTCAACACAGAAATCATCTTGAATATGGCCTTCTATGTGTTGCTATATCTATGTGAGAAATCATTTGTGTTTTCTCAGTGTTGGAATGAGCACTAATTGGTTTGATCCTGACCTGAAAGAGACGCTGGCACTCTGTGATCATGTGTGTCAGGCCCTGGGTGGCAGCCAGGTTCTCACTCAGGTCTTTCTGATCAGGACGGCCTGTAGTGTACTTCCTCTGGATTGACCTTAAGGAATAGGAATAACACAGAAAAGGCACCATATAATAAATAATTTCCTAATTCATAAGGAGAAACATGGATTACGTCTTGATTAGCAGTTTCCATATGTGAATACACAACAATGTAATTATTGCATCAAAAGATGTGCAAGAGTGAGGAAGCATCATTACTTGTGGCAGTTATTGAAAAATATTATCACAGCTTAAAGCATGAAGCTAATTTACAGAAGAACTTTCCTCCATCTTTGTGCGTTTCTCTGAATACTTGTGACTTCCTCTCCGTGTTACCTTAAAAAGCTATCTTAAAATGACCCCAAAGTGAGAGTACACTTGTTTTGCATGTTATGCAAATTATTGCCAAAGCTTATCCCGTTGAATAAATTGTATCGTCAAATGGATTGTCAATTAAATTGTTATTAGTATACTGATAATTAAATTCATTAAATGGTTCTCCGCAAACATCACTGTTCTTTGCTTTACTACACATACCTTGGTGACAGGGTCTCATTCTTCAGTATGCTGAGGTGAAAGAGTGATGGGCCGAGACAAACAGCAAGATTCATCGGGGTCATCTGGTTCTCCTCCACTAAGGAGGTAACATCACGCAGGAAGTAAAGCAGCATCTGCAGGGCCTCCCTGTTTTCATCTGGCATCAGCAAAATGGCCGCTCTGACAGCCTGTAGCCTCTGTTCCTTTGGAACATCTAATTAAAGAAAAACAAATAGCAAAGTTGAAGTATTTAAGAACAAACATCAAATATCTGCATGTTCTTTTGGTGTGTCTGTCACTGTGTGTGGTGGTGACGTGATTAAACTGAAGTAATACTCTTGTCAGAACTATGAGAAATAGAAAGTTCATCCTTCTGTGTTTCAAAAGAGTTTCAAAGCACGAGCCAGCTCAACCATTCAAACTACCTCTGAGGCAACTTACATTGGTAAATGTGCAGGAAGGTTTCGCCCAGCTTGCTGGTCAGCAGAGGCTCAGGCAAGTCCCTGAAGAACTGTTTGACCATGTCAGCCACATCGTAAGCCGATTGGTCCTCGTAGCTCACACAGTCGGGGGACAGCTCACACTGCTGCCTCAAAGCCTGAATCCGTGACTTCACACCCGATTTGCGGAACAATCCCACCTGAGAGAGGGACGACAGAAAGGAAAGCATGGACGTTTAAGCTTTTGAGGGGGATAGATTCAAGATGTTTGCTGGATTTTGGATTTGTGATTCCAACAACAGCCCAGTTAAAGCAGTTTACCAACCTGGTCCAGACAGTGTGTTCTGAGGTGACTGAGAGCCTGCTGTATGCACAGAGGGAGCGGAAACCCACAGCGCTGGACATGGACGATAAGGGGGACCCCAAACACACTCTTCTCTTTGTAGTCTGGCACCTTCATGCGCTTCATAAACTTAGGTACAGACCTGGCAGCGATAGGAACAAAGCAATTTGGGAAGCGTGTGGGAGAAAGAGTGGTCTGTGCTTTCATTATCTTCCCCTTTATGTACTCGCTGGTCAACAGGATTTCCCCTTGGGGTATAATAAAAAAGAGCAGGACCGGCTGTTGACAAGACAGGGATATGCTTGTTTGTTAGACATGAAGAAACTGGGGGCTTTTTATATGGTGTGGCAGAGAAGCTGAACCCAATTTTCACCCAGTGCTTGCGCACGTCTGCTGATCTGGACATGCATAAAGCTGCTGATAAATAATGTGTCCTACACTGTTGCAAATGCACAGTGGAAAAGAGGGGAACTGACAAAATAAGTAAAAAGATTACTGCCAAGACTCTTACACATGCAGAGCATATTGTACCTTACTTAGCTGACACAGAGCCTTAGGGACATTCATTTGAATGCATAAAGATTTTCTGTTATATATGAACAACAAATAAAAATGAAAGACTGAGTTAGTGCCCACCATGTCCAGCCATGTTTATTGGACATTGAATATTTCTCCATGATGGCAGTGAGGCGGAGCAGAGAGAACTTCTGCAGCAGGCTGAGCTGGCCGGCTGACTGGCTGCTGATCTGAAGTGAAGATGCTGGCTGGTTGAGATGATCAGAGGTTCTGAAACTGGGCCATCGTAGACTAAAATGGGGGGACAAAAATACCAGAAAACAATGTGCAGCTCTGTTGCTCGGTTGGCGGAAATATGACATGGTTAAGTTTGGGTCTTTTTATTATAGTTCTGGACAGCTTGCTTTCAACACCATCATAATTGCAGAGATGTTTATAGCTGAAAACAAACACTTCATACTGGTTTAAAACAGGCGGTAACTCCACAGCATGAAAAATAACGCTAAGAGGGAAAAGCTGCTCTATTTCTGTGCTTGTTTTATACTCTGTGTAACAAGTAAACATACTATTGTATTTCACATCCATAAATAAATTATTGGTTATAATCAATCTTATTATAACCAATAAAATTGAGGTAAGACTATAAAAATAAGACCCAAGCTGTAATAAACCATAATTATCCTTTAAATGCCTGAGCGGCTACTCACCGTGGTCTTGTGAGGGAGGCCCCAACTCCGGAGTCCCGCCTTTCCCGACTGGTCCCGGTTGAATCGGTGTCATTTAAGGAGACCCCGTCCCTCTCACCTTCACTGGGAGTGGTCCTGCCCTCCCCCTCCCTCGCATCCCCCTCGGGGAGCACACTGCGGCTCCAGTGTTCCACTATCTGCTGCAAGCCACTGACGTGCTGGATGATGTCGTCCAGGTGAGGAAACAGGTTGTCCTCCTTCTCGAAGTCCAGCAGGTCTCCCGTGCTGGCGTACAGATGAGAGCCCGGCACGTTGTCGTAAACACTCACTCTGCTGCCCCGTGGCGCTCCGGGACAGGGGGGTTTGGATAAAGGTTTACCACCCCAGGGTTCACCCGGGCCATTTTCAGGAGAACAGGTTTGGGCACGTGGCTGAGGGCCGTTGGCCTTGTCACTCGGGGAAGGCGCAAGGCTTTCAATGGACAGGGCTTTGGGGAAAGTGCCTGGTTTATGGTCTTTGGGGATGTGAATGAGGAGATTTTCATACGAGTGAAACTGGCTCCTGCCAAGTTGGCTCTGACCTTCAGTCCTCTTACCCTGAGAAGGCAGCTCCATGTCCTCCAAGTACATGCTGCTTCTCTTGCTGGCAGTGCGGGGTTTGGTGCATGCGGGATCCGGGAGGCGGGGCAAAACGGGCTCTTTTGTGGGGCTCCCGCTCAGTGAGTTCTGTTCTTTACAGCTCTTGACTGGGACTGGGGAAATATCCCCGTCGTTTTGCTGATTATGCTTCGGGTGTGGATCCAGTTGGCTGATGGGAGTGCACTGCAGCATCTGAAGGGCCTGCGGTTCCTCCCCCTGTAGCACTGGCCCGCTGATGACCAGTGGCGGCCTGCGATTCGAGCTTTTCCGCCTTGTCGATGGTCCCCAGGTGCGCATTAATTCCATTCGACGCAGAAACTCTTTGGCTTTGCTCCTCCCTCCTTGTCCATGGCGACTGCTCTTGATTGGTAAGGAGTTGTAGTGTGGAAGGTCCCGGGGTGGTTGGTAAGAGGCAGAGAGGGATGCCATAGATATGGAGTCAGGCATCGCTGAGGCGGAGTCTTCACTGTGGAGCGACGAGATCTCTGTGATCTCCTGTTCACTCAGGTCCGTCAGCACACTCTCACTGCTCACCGTGCTGCGGAGACCCTCCCCTGGGCCAGTCGGGCTGCTGTCATTGGTGCTATCCAACAGGAAGTCTTGCAGGCGAGACCACCGCCGACTGCTCCATTCAAATGTCCACCTTTTACTGATCGCCAAAGGGTCATCTTCATCAGAATCATCACTCTGTGGAATGAAGTCAAACATACAGATACAAAGCTTACATAAAGCAAGGGTTATTTTTGCTTTCTGGTTTGCTTAGACAGAGTGACGGGCACTGTGTAATGCACAGCATGAGAGATTAAAACATCTCTTTGCTTGCCTTTTGATGCAAAACTGCAGAATAAATTAGGTTAAAAAGCACATAGATAGGTTGGGACTGTGTGGACCACAATTTGTATTCAGATGAATACATTTAGAATACTCCTGAAAGAAAAGAGGAGCAACCACAAATTGCATTCAGAAGAAGATAAAGAATTAGTGAAAATATTTCCAAAAAGTTGTGTAACAGTGGTAATCTACATGCTGCGGACGACTGGGTCTGTCCAAAATATTCAAAAGAATGCAATTATTTAGCCTTGGTAATCAACGGTATGCTGGTATTTGTTGTAGTGAGGTTCTACTAGGGGAGGCTGTAGTTCTAGTATTCTAAATCTAAACTGTACACAGAGAAAATGCACTGCTGTTCTATTGGAAATAATACAATTACCCCAAGGAGTTGTCATTGTGAAGGATTGAATATTTGATGCCAAGAGCTGCATTTTATTTCCTAATAGCTAGTTTTAAATAAAGCACTTACCTTCTTCTTGGGGTGGCTGACATCCAGTTTCATGGAGGCACACTTGTTCAGAGTGTTCAAACGCCTGCAACACACGTACACACAGATTCACAGGCTGAAATCAAAACATTGCGTATCTTTTGCTGTTGTTTTCTGGGTTGTGACCTGAACTGCAAAACAGCTCATTTTTACTGTCTTCTTACTTTTCGTGATCATTTCCACCCTTCTTCTTGAATCTGATCAGTCACTGTCAGACCGTCCTCTTTATTTCCTTTTTTAATCTTTCTCTCTGACTATCTCCCTTATTGAATTCTGTCTGTTGCTCCCACACACACTGACAGTCTGCCCCTAGAGTCTTTCCTCCCTCTATCTCTGACTTGAACTTATCCTCACCCTTAAGGGGTGATCTCCACCTAGAAACAACACGACTCCTCCCTTTTACTCTCCCCATTCTGCCCTGCCACCCAATTTCAACACCTTCCTGAGGACAGTTACTGATCCACCTTCTCCCTTTGAATTCTGTAACTTTGAGAGTGGTGACTATTCCAGATAGACCACTTTGAACACATTTTGGGGTATGTTGGGTCTGTTATTTGAAAAATGTTTCTTGCAATACAGTAAAAAAAAAATTGATTTGTTAACACTTAACAGTCTATGTCCTATCAGAGATAGTTTAGATTGACATATAGATATAAATATAGATAGATATAAATATAGATAAATCAAACATATTGGTGCAGGAGAGGAAAACTGATGAAGGAGACGAACTGAAAAAGACCTTAAGGGGTTAACAGTTAACATCACTGGCCCTCTGTGGGTGTCTGTCTTTGAATGGGACAACAGAACATGGCAGCAAAGAGAGAGGAGGCACAAGATCAAAGCCTGTGTCCGTGAGGAAGAAGTGGATGTGGAGTTCATTAAGGGTAGGGGTCAGACATTTAATGACTGCCAGTTAGCACCAGGCCGCAGGGACAAGTCAGTCCACTGAACATTGAAGACTAAAGGAGGGATTTAATGGTGTCCACTGTGCAGCACGGTGAATGACAGAGAAAGAAAGAACTGTGTATTTATTGGGTCCACAGCAATTCCTTACCGACACAGAGGCTCCACCAGATCCCGTTCCAGAAAGTCATGGTCCCTTTTCACTGAGGAGATATCGATTGGAAACTGGGAATCTGTTAGAAATAAACAGAGAGGAAGAAAAAAATGTATAGGTTTATTAGTTTCCGACTTATAAGGAACAGGAAGCAGACGTTTTTTTTGCTTGTTAGCTGTTAACAAAGTCTGGTAAGTGTAACACAGCTGCTGCCACTGGTCACACTCATCATTACATTTGCATCAGAGGTTTACAAAACACACTCAACCCCTGAAATAACTCAAATCCCACACAATGCTAAAATGACTCAAGGGTTATTTTGTTTTTGTTTTTCGGGTAATTCTCTGGGTTTGATGGCAGACTGCAAGTATCATGTGCACCATGTGGTCCCATAGATCGTCATCCACAACCTGACATTACTGATTCTCACAACATTTCCCAGAACAGCAGAATGTGTTTGTCTGTGTGCTGCTACAAAAGGACGGACTGCTGGCTTTTAAGAGTCTCTTTTTGATTACTGGGGTCATTTCCTGTTTGCTCTTGAAGTGCATGAGACCTGATGATGATCACATGAACAAATGCCTGTAGGTTAGCAAATTTAGATAGAGTGGAATGGGGACAGAAATGCACCATGAAGGATATTAAGAACTATAAATGGAGTATACAGTATCTATATATTTGATATTCTCCCCTGTGGTTCATTTTATTTGTATTAATCTATCATTTTTTTCCATAGCTTCTTATCATTTCCTTTGCATTTTGTCCATCAATCTCTCACATTTTATGTAATTAAGGGGACTAAATGAAAAGGAATTAACGAGAAAAAACTTTTTTTTTTTTTTTAAGTAAAAACTTTTTTTTAAGACAAAAAGGGTTATGGATGAGCCAAAGTACCAGGAAAAAGGTGAAAGACAGAAGAGAGTAACAGAAGCTATGAAAGTCCCAGCGGTGATAACAAGGCCTTTCCCATGACCCCTCCCTCTGGACAGGAACTAAAGCCTGGAAATAGAACGCAGCGGCGCCGGAAGACGGGGATCAGAGATGGAGGGATGGCCACGGGAGGGAAAGAAACATAGATGATGGAAAAATAAGGCAGATAGAAAAAATTAACTGAGGATAGAGAATAAACAAAGGGGCGAGAAGAGGGAGTTTTGGAGTGAAACAATGCAGCTGTATAAAAACTGGACTGAATGTGTGTGTGTGTGTCTGTTCGTGTGTGTACACTACCTTCATACAGCTGAGCGTACTGTGGAAATCCCGCCGCTCGAAGCCAGTCACAAGCCTCCTTGGCCTCAATCTCTGCAAGGTATAAAAAAAGTGGATAGCTGTTTAATCAACAGAAATATATCCAGATACTTTTGGGCATTTCTTGATTGGTCTTGAAACTCAATACAATTAAGACTTACTGCCAATCCTGGAATATCACTATGTCAATTTGTCATTTCATTTTCAGAGGAAGATTAAAGTGGAAAGAGTCAAAGACTTGCAAAAGTACAAAAAAATCCCCACTGTGCATGAGTTTGTTTTCCTGAAACGAGCACTCAGCACACAAAAAAGGAACATCTCAGAGTTACATTTTTCCTCTGGGAAATCACTGGAATGATGAGCCAAAAAAAAAAGCTGGAAATCGTCCAGAGAGGGACCCACATTGTCTTAAAGACATAGGAAACACACTTAAAACATTCTACTCACAAACGATATCCACACAGGCAGTCAGAACTCAGCTGTATATGAATAAATGTAACAAGGCTCACACATGGCACCGCAACCCATTAAGCACTGCCGCCAGCACCATCAGACCTTTTACAGGATTTTGTTTTACTACTTTTTTCCACTAGCATATGTATTGCACACAACGCCAAACTGGCAGGTCTGATGTGTGTAAGTGTGTGTACATTGTCTTTATGAGCTAACACTTATTAAACTGCTCCAAGCTGCTCTTTTTGCTGACAGAGACATCTGAGCTCACTGGTGCCAGGGAGCAAATAACCTTTCAACAGGTAAAAGACTAGAACATACACAATCAAACATGAAGACTGAATTAATTCCATTAAACGAACCTTGAGCAGAACAGACAGGGAATTGTGGGACTTATCTGAACAAAAGAAAGACTCAATAAAACTCCACACTTTCAAACAAACCTGCTTCTAAAAAAAATATGTCAGTCTACACAAGCTGCTCTCCTCTGGTACCTCTTCATCCCCCCACTCATTCGCTCTCACTTGTCACAACCACTTGTTTAGAGGAGCTGGTACTAAATTGGAAAAGCACCGCAGAAACACAGAAGACAAAGTTCAACAGGGCAATAAAAAGCCTCACCATCACAGATGAGAACGCTCAGAGGAAATGACACTGTCACCACAATCCTGCAATTACGTCCCTCTCGCAACATTTTTCGCATAGTTGTTATTTCTAAATCACATACAACAACACAACTCAAGGGTAGATTTAGAAAAAATAGGTCTTTTCTCCTGTAGTATTCTGAAAAAAGACTGCCTGAAAAGGGGGTTTCCACTAAGAATCAACAAAGCCTTTAACCATTAACTTACTGGAAGTTCTCATGGTGAGGAGGACCACATGCTCCTATGTCTGCTTTCCCCCGAGAAGCTTTCTCTCCATTCCGTGGTACATCCATTCACACCATCAAGTGGCAATGATTCAGGACTTTCTTCTTCCCTGCCTCCCCAACCCTTGTGTTTACAGTCCTGCCTCCATCCAGCCTTCCCCATGCAGGTTTTCTCTTCCTTCTAATTTTCTCCTTTGACTCGTCTCTTGCTTTTCATCTTTGTTAGAACCAACATACAATATCTCTCTATTTTTATAACTCTTGGCTGAATTTGGCTTCCCTCTTCTTTGTTCACAAGCGTCTAACTTTTTCTTACTATCTTTGGCCATGTGTCATATTTTTCTTCAGGATCTCAGTACCTCTCCCATCTTCACTTAACCCTCTGTTTCCCAACATCTAAATTACTACCTTGCATATTTCTCTACATTTTAGCCCTTTGGCATCTTTCACTTAAACCATTTCCTCCTAGTTTACTCCTACCACATACTCCAAATGTTCTTTTTCATTACCAAAACAACAAAGTCCCCATTATATCCAGAAAAGAAAAACACAATTCTAGATAGTCTTTGCTTCTACTAGGCCATCACGTTCGCAGACTGACATCCACTTGATGCTGAATTTGTGAATCACCTGAGCCCAAGGAGGTTAACAAGGAGACTTTGGCCTGTTTCATTCCTGTGAACCAGAACCAGAATACGAGAATCTAGTGAGCACATGTAGTGTACGCACCTACATAGCCATTAAAGACGGCCCAGATGTTGCCCCCAGTAAGTCAGAGATTGCGAAAATGGATGAGACAGTCGGACAGCTCGAGTGAGGAGCTGAGATGGAGGGACATTGTGGGAAAACCGCAGGGAGGAAGACATACCACACCAGCTGTTTATTTACTTAAAGTAAGATTGTTTGACTCTTTATAGAAGCAAAGTTTTAAAAAATGCCAAAGCAGATTAAAAACAGGGGACACTGTAAGACAGCAGGAAATCCTCAATATTTCAGCATGCCACAGACCTTAATAAAGAAATAAGATTACCGAGTCAAATCCATTAAATGTTCTTGCCCGTGGAATGACTACCACAATATCAACACAAGCACAAGTATGCTTCTCAAATGTTCTGAACTATTGATGCTGTTGAGATGACACAAATCTAAAATGTTCACGGTTGTTGTTTTGAGGCATCAAAAAGTAATCAATCGATTAAAAAGCTTGTTGTTCTTTTTTTAATTTGTGAAAAAATGGGATGATTCATTGCAGTGTTTGTGCAGGTGCAAGTGGCAAAGCTACTGTCAGTGTGAGAACACAGCGCTTCTATTCATTTGTGCAGAATCTAATCAAGAGATTAATTAGTACACAAACATGTTATAAGTAGGCCACAATACAACACAATGCGCAGTCAGAGAGAACTAATTCCAGCTGCCTGCTGCGCTTTTCCTGTCTGCTTCATGTCACTGCTATCCTGCTGTGGAGAAAATACGACGACGGGCGGCAGGCAGGCTAGAGCTACAGCTAAGAGGGCAGACGTATGGTATGTGTGTGAAGGTTTGACTGTGTTGTTGTTTAAATTTGGTCATCTATGTGTGGGACAACGAGGGAGCAAGGTAATTGATGACATTACATGAGTGCCAGCAGTGTGAAATAATCAACACAATACAAGCACCCCCGATGTCCTCACAGCCTTTTTTAATGAGTTTGCCTTATTTTTTCTGCTTTTCATTTCCTGCCTTTTGTCCACCGCCACAAACCTGCAGTATGTGGCAGGCTTCTCTCTCTGTTTTGTCTGCATTTCACTGGGTCTCAAGGACCCCAAAGAGCCTGGTGTGACATCATTTCCTGCTCTGAATTTCCCAGAGCGGCATGCAAGCTAAGAACAGAAGCAGCAGGAAGTTCCTGGGCTGTACACATCAGTGGAACTCAGATGGGACGATTGTTAGAAGGAGGTGTACAAAAGCGTATGAGTAACAGACAGATTATCAAGAAAATGCCATTCAATATGCAACCGGATATAATGACTGTGATCGGTCAAAATCTGTGGGATTTCCTGAAGAGATAAATGGCATGGGCAAGGGACTGTAAAGACTTTGAACAGCCAGACTACACACACACACACACACCCAAACACACACACACACGTACACGCCCAAATCGGCTCCCTGGAAATGAGCCATATTCCCACATGTGTTAAAGCGCTTAGTCTGTCATGTTTTAAGTTTAAAAAGTAGTGAAAGAGACAGTGGAAGAGTGATGAGACAGGAAGCGAGGCTTCCTGTCTCATCATGTAAAAAAAAAAGATCATTTAAAAAAAGAACATCCCTGCCCTGTCTCATGTGGTTTGTCTGTGATGATATCCGGCCCTAGGAATGTAGTGTAAAATAGAATCAATACTGGCATGAAATGAGTGCTTGTTCTGGCACGGAGTCTCCCATGTACGAATGACAAGAGGACCCTGGGAGAGCAGATGGGGGTACGACAGGTGAGAAGTAAAGGATAAGCTTGAAATGAACAACTTATATAAGTGTAAACACTATAGTTACGGCAGACATCCCCAGTCTGGATATGAATGACCATGGAAGAGGCCAGCAGAATGAAGGTCATCATGTTGTCTGTTTGGTTATGGCACGTTTCCTCCAGCAGGTGGTGTTATAGAAAAAGTACACGATGCACTCAAATTCATCAAATCATGGCATGTCTTCAGACTCAGGTCGCTTAAAAATGTGCTTGGTTCTGTTCCACCTATCCACCTTGTTTATTGGCAAATGAATGCATAGAGAAAGGCAGCTCTGCCCTTAGAAGAACAACAGAGTGGTGGTATATACGATAGAGTAATAGTTCATGTTTGACTGTGTCAGACACACAGAAAAAGATGTCCACTCTAATTATTTTTTAAATGAAAGAAACATGACTTTTCCTGATGGCATATCTGTTTAAATATTGAGTGAAAAGTGTTTCAGTCAGATGTGATGTGCCATTTTGTTATTATGTTTTAACCCTATAATACCATGTCTATTATATTCGATACATTTGGTTTTGGAAATATTTTGCATCTGAGACCTGTATAAATGGTATAAACTTTCCTTAAAACCCTTTTGTACACAAGATGTATCTGGTAATAGTCCGCAGGACACTAGACAACAATAATTTGACATATCGCACGGCAATAATTGATAAATATTTAAAAATGGTTGCCGTTCTTTACTCAAATAAAAAAATCACGCTAAAAAAGATGACATTTTCCCTCTTAGTTTTCTTAGATCATGCTTTAAAGGGTAATGAAGTGACACTTCAGATTTGGCTGAATTAAAACGCCTAGACAAACATTACCACAATGCTTTTCATTATTATTTAGCTGAGTACTAGTTCACATTCATTTTTCCATTTTCCATGTTATGCTGCCTATTCGGGTTTGTCTGAGCCCTGTAGTCTCTGAAGCAATACAAGGAAGATCTGAACGTAAACCTGTGCTGATATCATGTCCACATTTACATCCAGTTCCAATTTTTTGGATTGTACATGTTGTAACAATCATTAAGTGCATCAACATTCAGCATTAATCATGAATAATATCATTTCAGTGATCAGGGAACAGAGCATAGGGGCATTTGAGCAGAATGTGCTTCTGTCTTCTGTCTCTATTTTTGCTTCACTGTATCAGCTGCCTACAAGTGGGAAGCTTCTTTGGGAGCTTGGTTTCATGCAATAATGATGATTAAAGAAGAAAAGAGTGCACAAATCAGGGAGTGGAAGTAGACGAAGTCATACATCACCCACCACAGGCAGAAACATGTTTCCCCAGCTACATTCCTGTCATATCTCTACTTGACAGATTCAATGTTTGGCTTTTGGAGACTAATTCATCAGCAAGGGTAGATGGCATAGAAAGTTGGTCTTCACAAGATTGTGTTCATATTTTAAATCAATCAGATGACATGGAATTCTAAAATAGATAACTAAAACAAATTACCTAACATATTACCCATGATACCAAAGTTATAAACCTCCAAATATAGTGAGGGAGGATTCATTGCATACAATAAAAAAGAGAAATACACCAGAAAACCTCTGCTGTGTTTCTGTTTTTCTGTCAGATATTCTGTTTAGTTTTTGGGAGACAAAAGTCACATGACAGGAAATTAAGGAAATGACCAGTTGAGTAGGTGGAACACAGACAAAAACAATAACACTTTAGCCCTCCAGGGTTTGTTATGACTTCCTTCCAGATTTATGAAAACCATCTTTGGCAAAAAAGTGTCTCCATATGCCCGATTTAATTAATCCAACACAGCCATTCAGAGGGGTGGTCACTACTGTCAGTGAAAGAAATGTAAAAATATCTACATTATTTCTATAGTGTAAATTATGGTGGAATAGATCAAATATAAAGAAAATCCTAAACGAGGGAGGCAGGATCTCACATAAAGAGACTCCCATCAGAAGCTTCCTTCCCGAAGACATCAAAGCTTACATTGTTTGGATCTACAATCAACACTGTTATCTGTGTCTGAATGAGCAGCAAAGATGGGGAATTAGTCAAGTTCAGACACAGGAGGAAAGAGAACTAGAGGGGGAACACTGGAAAATATACATCAAAGTCTTCCTTACAAGCTCAAAATTCATCATGTCCAACTCCACAAATTTAAATACCTGAAAGTACCCGAAGCCTAATTTCACACAAAAAACACCTCAACTTATGGACTTATGGAAAGCGGAACAAAACTCTCTCTTCCTCTACCTTGTGCCAGCCTCCTCAGCAGCTGCTGGCGGGCGATGATGCGTGAGAGGCGCAGGGCAGAGCGCCGGCGAGGCGTGTCCCCCAGCCTCAGGTAGTATTCCTGACCGTCAGGAGTCATGGCCTCCAGACAAGTGCTCTCATTGGTAGAGTCGCCGTCACTCTCGCAGCTATTGCTATCGCCCTCCGCGGGTTGGTCCCCTCTGCCCGGGTCACTGTCCGTGTCCGGGCCCCCACAGGCTGAACGTTTGGCACCTCCGCAGACCTCAGCTCGCTCTGTTTCGGCCCTCGTACCATCTGCCCTGTCAGCAGGGGTCCAACTCAGGAGGTGGGTCAACTGTCCGGTATCTGCGGAGTTGATGGCATCCTCCGCTTTTTCAGTTTCAGTTGAGCTAAGTCTCTTCCCGGCTTCTACATAAGTGTTGACTGTGTGCTGGTCCCCTTCAGATTCTGCCTGCTCTGCAGCTTCCCGGCGTGCTGAGTTAGCCCCCCCGGCCCCGCTCCCCGCAGCTCCCGCAACATCCATGGCGCAGTCTGCAGCCTCTGTGGCACGTAAACATCAGAAGCATCCGAGTGCTCCTCGCTCTCGCCCTGCCGGCTTATTGTTCGAGCACTCCTCGCGAATTCCTGCCCGGAACATGCCCTCACTGGAAGCCGCCCACCTGCCTCCTCCTTCCAGCCCCGAAACAGCAGAGCAAACACACAAGCTGCATCGTACCACCTGACTCAGTGGACAGTTGTTGGTCTCCCCACCCCTGTTCACCAGAGATGGGGGGGGGGAATAAACTCACAAACTTTAGCTTCCACAAAGACTTGTTTTTGCTCATGTGACCAGCAGCCAATGGCCTGGATGCTTGAGGGGAAAACTGGCCTGCTTCCTGAAGCCCCGCCAAAGAAACTATTTAGTACACGCCTCGGGCGTGTGTGTGACGGAGAATGGTGCATCTGTGATCGGTGGGGGTAGGCCTGGATTAAAAACATGGTCTCTAGAGCCGCTACCCAATGCGAAATGAGGAAGGAGCAGAACAATAGAGAGCGTGTGGGTGTGTGATGTGGTGCTGAGGAATGTATGTATGAGCAAGAGCATTGTTTGTGCTGCTGAGTGGGACTGTAATGGCATGGAGAAATGTACTTTAGATCTACATGTAGTTAACCGTAGTTGTAAAACGTCAAATCTGAGTTGATTTGATCACACTGCCCCCTTGAGGAATGCCAAGAGGACACGATCACAAATATTTCTCAAGAGAGAGCATGATTTTTCTTTTTTGTTTCTTTCTTTAACTAGTTTTTGAGTATGCCAAGTTTGTAGGATAAACTAAGAAATGGCAGGGGAAAGTCAAAAACACACACAGCACACTGAGTGAGCTCTCCTGCTGATCCAGGGCACATCAGGCTGGCAGAGTAACGTCATATGGAGCCAAATAGATATGTGGAGCAGAAGTGGAGCAGGGCAGGACTGTAGCAAGTATGTTGGTAATACAATATTATCATTTGTGCATAGCTAGAGCAGGCCAAGACAGAACAGAGAAATAAATAAAAGAGATTGAAACTTAACTGCATTACAAAAGATATTTATCGAATAGTTTGAAATTGATCAGACATTTGACAATTTTAAGGAATTTCAGTAAATCAAATCTTTTAAACATTGTAATCAACTCACCAGTTTATCACTTTATCTCTTCTTTTTTCAAATAACGTGGTCAAAATAATGCTTGGTTGGGAGGAGATTAGAAAAGATAAAGCTGTTTGTTTGTTTGTGTAAATCCCTTTAGGGTGGACTGTGCAATCTAATAAACTAGGAGGCACACACACAACACAAATATAAATACCCGCGCCAGAGGAGCTAAAAAACAGAGTTCCCACATGGAGGGTAAAACACCTCCCCCACTCCTAATCCAAAAATCTGTAGAATTACAACTAAATCCAGGTCTTACTGTGTACTCTCAGTTTTCAGCACGCACACACATTCACGAAATGTATTGATGGAACTCTGAAAAAGAATCAAATATTTTGGAACTTTTAAGTGTTTCTTTTGGCAAATCCTTCTCCAACATTCTTAATCTGGGTTATATCTATTTGTTTTCGTACACAAGCTCTCATATGTGTTTGGGCTTTTAAAAAAGTAATTTGCACTCACAATCTGGTATATTTCATTTTAAGGGTTAGAAGGGTTTGAAGAACCAGAGTTAAATCAAATCTTTTACTCACCAAACCATGCTATCAGATGGCCATGAAGTGAACACCTTCAAAAGCTGAAAACATTCGCCTGGTCTGGATATTCCATTGGCCTGACAGATTCACGGGGTGGAAAATGCACTGCTGAATGCGAGCATAACTATAAGGCCAGATGTGCGCATTTTAAGGATTCCCCGTCTCCAAATCTGATCCAAACAGATGTGAACTGTGCGCCTCTGAGATGATGGGTTAAGCAGGGGGACGAGGGAGGGGGGTGGGTCTGAGGGGCCTCAGGGCTCTGACTATGGACAGGATGGAGGGGTGAAAAATGAGGGAAAAGAGGATTACAGTGGCAGCAGGTATCCTCTGAGGCTCTATTGGATTGAAATTAGACTCCTTTAAACTGCATATCACTCATTTCCAAATTATGATCCCTAATTGATTATAACACTGTTTATCATTCTTTAATAAACGCTGAAAATATATTGAACAAAGGGTATACTTTTTGAGGACGGTTTCCTCTTGAGAGCGCAGTTTGTGGTGCTTTGGTTGGTTGTGAATGTGGGACTGTTGGTCGTCTCATTTGTTTAAGTGGCGCACATCTCTGTAATCACATTAAACCGAGGAGACAGCTGCAGCCACCCCTCTCCTTCGCTCCCCACTCGCCTTTCCTCACATTTCCTCCTCTTCCTCCCTCTCTGACGCACAACTGAGCCAGAGTCTGCGCATCCAGGCCACTGTAAATACAGCGTAAATACCCCCAAACCTGGCGCAATAGTGCGCGCGCAAGCGTACCTGACCCCACGCACGAGGGGCTATGAAATCCAAAACACTGACAGAGCCACCACCTCAGGGGAATAACGATTGAAAAGTCAAGCGTCCCTCCGGATTGGAACAACAAGCCTGAATGTCTGGCATCTGAGAGCCCTGCTGGAGTGCTTTCCACACCGCATGCCTGTGCTGTTTTGAACACTAAATTTGACAATGACCTTCCCAAAATAATCGGGTAGAGCGCCGCACATGACGCCACAGACACGAGCTTATATGCACCAGTCCCCAGGAAAAGAACATGCCTAAACTTTTGTCCTCGATATCAGATATTAAATGTCCAACGCATTGCAGGGGCGAATAAAAATACAGAGGAGACGATAAGCCACCCGCCAAGTGACCACACGAATACCACAGGGTTAGACGCCAATTTCGAAATTATAAAAAGATTTCATGTATAATTTAAGAAGAACTACAGGATGCTTGGAGCTGACAGTTTCTTAGCTGTTACTCTAAATCACCCGACCGTTTAATACCTCTTAGCTGTACGGATATGGTGCATGCCGCATTTCAAAATAAGTCTCACTTCCATTTTTGGCTCTCTGACCTGCCAGTCGCCTCTCCCGGACATTTCTCCACAGCAGATCCCAAGCCTTGGACGTGGAGTCCCGCAGCTGCTCGCTGATGGACCGCCGCAGCTGGAGCTTGCTGGCAGACTTTCGCCGGGTGGTCATTGCGGTGCGGCCGGACGCATATTCCCCCGAATAAAAAAAACAGCCCGAGGGTTATCTTCAGCCTCCCACCTTTTATTCCACGGCGGGACAGCGCGCCCCGGCTCCTGCGTCCTGCTGCCGCAACAGCCGTCTGCGCTTCACCTGGTGCGGTTCTCCTGGTTCTCCAGCTCTCCCCCCGCGCTGCGTCACCTTCCTGCACCAGCAGAGGCGGAGGACGGGCTCCTACTGCCAAGATTCCGACCCATAGAATATATCCTGATTCAACGGATTCGCCAGTGCTGACCCTTCCCCTGCGCCACTCTCCCGCTCGGGTTTGTAGGGGGCGAAATGTTTCAACACAAGTTGCGCATGTGATGATAGCGCCAGATGTGAGAGGCGGTTTCCCCCCCCCCCCTCCCCATGCGTAAAAAACTCTCTCTCATAAATACACACTCACCAAACCTACATGTTCCCCACGACACAAACCCACCCACTCACCCAAACAAGGATCTCTTTCAATCCCCTGATACGTAGCCCACTAATAACACTAAGTCATGGCACTCCAACGCACACTCCCCATCTGAGTCGTGTATCCAGAACAAGCCTCACTTATGTAGGTTCATTCAGTCTCGAATCCGTTCTGTTCACATATTCTGTCACACATGTTGGAGTATAGTAAGAAAGGGGCTCAATTTGAGCTAAATAAAATTCAACAAAACTGCAAAACATTTGCCAGTCATTTCATTAAAAAAAAATTCATTTCATCTTGTAATCTCTGCTGTTTTTTCCTTAAAAGTTGCAGAAAAGGAATAAAAGACTGGATACCCAGTTTAAAGACTCAAAACTAATTTGATAATTAAAAACTTTTAAAGATAATATCAAGTTCCAAACTTTAAGTATCACAACACAAACAGACAACCTTCTGAGAACCACTGCTGGTGAATAAAGATTGATTGTCCACTTTCTGAGGAGAGAGAACAAACACAGAGATGGTTTTGGGGTGCATGGATCAGTTTGACACAATGTTTCCAGTCTGATAAAGGAGTACATTTGTTCAAATCAGGCACAGTAAGAATTAAATTAATCTTGTAGATTCCAAAACTTTTATGTAGTGTCCTAAGGGATAGATGTCTTTGGCGTTCACACAAAAATGCACGGCCATATTTTACCAATGCCTCGTTGGTTGTCTTTTTGGCCAAATCAGGCCTTTGGTTCACCAAACCTAGATAAAGAAGAGGTAACTCAGCAGCTAACATGCTCCTGTCAGCCAGACGACCTCAAGTGAAAGTGCTCAAGCTGTCTCCCTTTGGGAGCCAGGTCCACCCCTCTGACAGGTTAAGAGTTTGAGGAATTTCATCCTGAGCGGTCACTTATTCCCGTGTTATTCAGGAATGCCAGACAGAGCGGTCACACCGCCCAAGACGCGCCTCAGCTGCCATCTGCCTGACACCGTCGGATGTCCTGTTTGAGGTGTTGTGTTGCAGGTCAGCATGGATCCTTAAAGAGAGACCTGATTCGACACTTCAGCTTGTTCAAACACGCTTGACATCTTGGACGGTCAGCAGATTGCTCAGCTCATGTGGACACCAAACACCACTTAACCAAAAAGTTTGACTTCCATAGCTGGAACTTGATAGAAAATTTACTTGAGGAACCTTTTTTTTCACCCCTAATGTGTCTGATGTGATTGGCCGCATGGCGATAGGAGGGAATCTAAACGCAGGAGTTGGGGGTACTGCTGTTCTGCCCTGCTATGTCCCAGTGTGTGTGATGACAGTTTCAGTGAGGAGTGACCTGGTGATTTCTATTCTTGCGTTACCTTGCTGAGGCCAGGGTTAGACGCATGACCGGCATTGGCACTCGGGACCAGGAGGAACGTGGTTTGACAAAAAAGGAATGAAATAAACATATAGCTCAATTTATTTGGAGTGAGGGCAGAGGAATGAGTGGCTGAATGATGTTTTCAAATAAATGAGGGGAAACAAAGAGCAATGTCAACCAACAAGACCACCAACAGAAAAGCCTCAAATCACACAGAGGATGTAACAATTGATGAGAACACTAACCCTGTTTCTGTTTTGATCATTTATATTACTTTTACTTTCATCCAATATTAAATATACTGCACTTCTGCCCTGTACTGTAACAATATATTCCAATTATTCAGGACAAACTAGTGCCAAACTAAACTCATTCAAACACAATAATGACCTGTCTTCAACTAATGGTTCATACTTGGAAACACTGACGACTAATCCTCCCAAAGGACTTTTAAAGACTAACTGGTCACAGGGTTAGGGTGGGGAGCTCAGTCATCAGCAAGAGGTTTTTGGAGGAAATAGGCAGCTCCTTAGCATCAAGGATTAACTGGAGAGAAATACATTTCTTTGATGACTTTAGAATGTCTCTGTGTCCCTGTGGATAAGCCTGAAGAGGTGATCGGGGAGAGAAAAGTCTGTGGATGGCTCACTGGCTGGCCTGTTGCCAGGGAGCCTGTTGGATGGATGGATGGACTGATGGATGGATGGATGGATGGATGGATGGATGGATGGATGGATGGATGGATGGATGGATGGATGACTGTGTTTTTTCCCAGTGTCACTGTTTCCATAGAGTTTTGCAGCAAAACAACGTTTATTGATTTTATAAAGTTTGCTTTTCCACAACTAAATAAATTAATCAACCCCAACTTGCTTGCTTTCACTGCACAAGTATTAAGTTATAATTTTTTACAAGTATCTCACATTCTTGACAGCTTCCCTTTCCTCACTGATTTGCTCCTTTTTCTTTTCCTTTGATTTGAGGCTTCTCCCTACTTTTACTACCAAGGAGGCATGCAAATGTGTGTTGTACACAAACAGGATCCTTCTGGAACTGACGACATATAACAAACAGACCAGAGTTTAACAAACCACACCTAAGCTGGAGAAGTGACAGACCTGCTGACTGACTGAGAGGTTGAACGAGAAGATGCACTTGAGACTGCTTTACTGCTGTTCATCCACTGCTATTTTTCTGCAGATTCTAATGATAGGAACACAATTTATAACAACTCCAAATTTGACTTCATTTTGAACACCTGGTGGCTTTAGAAGACAGATTTACACTTTGTGAGACATAGAAATTGCAACGGCTGAAAAATAAAAATGTAGAAAAAGAGTAAGTTGTGGTTTGAGGGTGAGAAAGAGAAGTAGGCTTTGAAATAGAAACTAAACACTTTTGTGGGGAAGCTACTGAACTTCCACTGACACAGTCAGCATGTTATTTCTCCCCTCTAATGTTTAAAATAGTGATATGTGGATAATAAGATGGTCTTTGAGGTCAACCTCCAGCCTGAGTGGAGAGATGGAGTTCCCCAGCAGCACTGTCTCACAGCAGCAGCCAATTAAAACACCAAATCTACACATCCAAGTACTCAAACAGCCAATCAAAACAGCACAATAGGCATATTCCGTACAGACCCAGGATCTGACTTTCTAAACAAATAGATACCGGAGCATGGAAGTGTCCACCGGGGGAGCAATCAGATCTGGCTGTGGTTATAGAAATGGACAAGGCTGGCCTGGAGAGGCAGAAAAGGAGGGGTTTGGGGGGGGGGGGGGGGGAAAAGGGGGGGGGGTGGGGGGGGGGGGGGGGAGCAAGAGCAGCGGGTTTAGTTTCTGCCCTGTCTTCCTGTCAGGTCATTTGAGGTTAGACAGTCATGTCAAAAAAGCACAACGGGCAGTTGGTGTTGCACAGCCTGCATGCTTAGGGTCACAGAGATGCTCTTTGATATTTTCATTTTCTTGTCTTTAGCAGCATGAGACCGTTATGAACATATTACCTTTACACTGTCTTCTAAGGTTGATATTAACATTTCTATATAACATTTACGAGTAAAAACAAATGTAGTGATTTATTAACAATTTCGCTGAATTGGAACGTTCCAAATATTTTATACCTCCGAAAATACACTTGTTCTTCCCAGAGCTTTCTGTCTCTAAGATCCTCAGAATGAAGGCAGAGAAAGTAAGAGCTGCCTCTGCACAAGGCGCCTGGGTTAGTGAGTTTAAATTAATCAATGATTCAACAGATCACATGATCAGAAACCATGACAAAAGCACCTCGCCCGTTCCATCATTTCAACAGGCATGCTAAAATTTGTATGTCCTCTCGACCAGCATGTACTCTCTTACGATTCCTCCTCCGTCAGCTCTCTTTCATCCCTGCCTCTCTTTCTCTCATTTTCTATTTACAGCAACACTCAGTCATTCAGGCCAAGCAGCTCAGCACCGCCGTCCCTACTGCAGGAGGCCAGGACCTACACTCCACCGAGCAGAAATATCGCCTGCTGAAAACCTTCAGCTGTATACCAAGAGAAAATGTTTATCTTTTTCATACAGCAAACAACTTCAGACATTCTTTCGTGTTTGCAAACTGGAACCGTGTCCAGTCACCTGCCGTGGATACAACCGGTCAGTTTAAAGTGGAACGTGCCCAGATTAAATGAAAGCAATGAACAGATGGCAATGTGTGACACTGACCTAAATTCCTTCTTCATACTACGTGTTTAGCTGTCCACAATCACACTAATTCACACACACTCACACACACACACACTCACTCACTCACAGTAATTCCATATGTTACAAACATCATCCAAAAGGATGTGAAACCTCAGGACATCAAACTCTCAATTCCTGCCTAACAGTTCAATTACAGTCATGTATTTTGTCTTAAGCGTCTTAAGCATCTTAGCATGGATTGAAAACTGTGTGTATACACTATGCCATGTAAACACGCAGTCTTTTCAAGTGAGGAAAAGCTAGAATAAAATGATTCCATACTATAAACATGTGTGTCAGAGTTACAGAGCCTAGAATTCATATCAAATTGAGTTAATTTCTCCTATTGAATTTACAAATCCTGAATCATGTGTCGTTCAGGCTTGTCTAATGTTGCTTTTAGACATCTATGACAACACAATTATAATCCCTGCCAAACTGCCTATTTTTGGGGGTTAGAGGTCTTAAAAAAACAGAAACAGAAACTCACAGATGTGGGGGGAAAAACTATTGTGTCGCAATGACATATGTTGAATTAGAATATCTTTTTTTAATCTAAGATTGTAGTCCCCTCCCTTAAATACCCCCAAATAACAATAGTTACCCGAAGACTCAGCATAAAGTGAGCTCTTTAAATACAGCCTTAATGCTTGTTAAGTTTCCAGAGCTGACGGTGTCGGCATAACCCCGACCGTATCAAAGAGACACCGTGATTGGAAGGTGGTCCAATAAAAGCAAAGCTTCAACGTAAAAAGACTGTGAGAAGTGAGGAAATGTGCTGTATCAATCTATTATTTTAGGATAGGTACACCAATTAGGTGTCATTACAAAAGTATCCGAACTAAAGCAAACTCC